GTCGCACCTGCGGGACGGGAGGGAGGTGAGAGGGGGCAGCCCCCGCGCTGGGGTTCCCCGGCACCCGCGAGCGCAGAAAGCGACGGCAGGGAGGGAACGTGCAGCTTTTGGCCCACGGGTTTGCCCCGAGGGTGTGGGCTCCTTCCCCTTGATGTGTCCCCCATCTCAGATCAGGATTGCGGGGCCATCGCTGTCACCCTGAGCGCCACGGTCCCCAGTGGAAACGCGCAGCCCCACGGGACAGCACTGAGCCTTCAAGGAGGCTGCCAGCCCTTTCCAGCTGCTGCAACGGCCCCGCTTGCAACCTGCGTGGTCTTTCCCGGTCAGCTCTTGGACAAGTTCCTACCAATATAATCGAACAGCTGTTTTAGCAGAGGAGAATAAGGTCTGATGCTCTTGGGTGAAGCACAGTGAGCCCTACAAAGTCTAGATTGTGTGAGGTGATAAGCTTAGACTGTGTCTTAAGTCTGTTATGTGCTATCTCTGCACTACTGGAAAATTGGGTCTGTGCATACTCATAAATATGTTTGCATAAGCAATCGCCCACCTTTGGCTTATAATCCTAAGCATTTCACAGGAAAAGAAATAGCTGTGGGCACATTTGGCACATGCAATATTATGTGGGAAACTTGTTTGGAAAGTCAGACTATTCTGCGCCCATCGCGTTTGTGCTAACATGCAGCCACCCCAGCTGGAGTTAAGCAGATACTTGCTGTGATGGTGTGTGCTCTGCTGCTGCTTTCCCCTCGCCTGCTGGCTGGCACGAGGACTCACCCCTGCATCTCGCCTGTGATACTTGCCACCAGGACATGGCAATATGAACAGCTGAGTTAACTCCAGGGAGAAATTTGGCCTCAGCTGAAATACAAATTCCCATCTGGAAGGCAAGCAAGCGATCTTGGTATTTATAGCCAAACGACACTTTGCATCTAAGCAGGCGGGATATTACTGCATCCAACTGGAAAAAGCTGTTGTTCATTTTTGTGGGAGCTGCATTTTTTCCTGAAGAATTACAAAGACTTGCATGGGATCAGTGCGAGATGGGCTCGGGAGCTACCTTTGCCGGCAGCAAGCACTTAGCCAACAAGTCAGCCTATTGTAGGCAATTTGCGGTCGCAGAAGATGTTTGGGCTCTGATTGCTCAAAACACAGTATTTCCTGCGAGGTTGGCAGTAGGGGTTAAAGGTTTTCAGGAGACGCTTTCGTTTGAGCATTTTAAAGTTTCCAATAGGGGCCCCTTTGTTAGCCTGCCGAGCAGCGCGCCTGCCTTGTTAAAAATCAGCGCTCATAAAATGCCATTTACCAACGCTCAATGAATAGGGCTGAAACATGTGGGGAGAGAGAGGTATGCAGTGTGTGCATCCACGTACACATGTGAATTACAGATGAACTCCACCGGGAGTGAGTAAATGGGACCTGGAAAAGAAAGCGCGACAGAAAAATGATTGAGTTGTACTCATAGAGCTACTTATGAGAAATGAGCGTTTGCCAAGGAAACGGTCCCTTTGGTGCCAGATGTCACGCACGTGTCTCCTCCAGCCACGCCGGGAGTCTCAGTAGCTCCTAGGATTAGTTGTTAAGAGCAATTGTGTTTTCTCCGCTTTGGGACCAAACGGGTCGCTTGGGTTCGGTTGGCTGTAACGGAGCTGGAGCACCCGTAGTCCGAGCTGCTACAAGGGCTCCATTGAGAGGTCGGGCGCGGGAAGCCGCGCTGGCGCGTTCCCCTGCGCGCTGCGGGCTGGCAGGAGCTGCCCCGCTATAGATCCTGGCAGCACAGGCACAGCTTTAAGTATCGAGTAACACTTATAGCTGTTAGAAGGGTTCTGTTCCCTCTCCTGCCTTGGCCGAATGAGGAGGGTTTAAAAATAGCTCCCTTGAAGAGAAGGGTGTAGGCGTGTGCTCGGGAGGCTCTGCAGAAGCTCTTGCACAGCTGCGGCAGAGCTTCCCCCAGGGCACCCTGCCGGCTGCTCCGTCTGGGCCCGGGCACGAAGCTTTCCTGGATCTTGGGCGGCTCCATCCTTCCCAGCACTTTTTTTCTGGAGGCAGGATCCTTCTTCCCTGCAAAATCCATCTTTGCCCATGTCCCTCTTCTGCCCAGACTGCTGCTTTGCCTTGCAAGCCCTTGCTTACATACAGGAGTCTGTCACTAACCTGGTCCCTCTGCTGTACATCAGAGGAAAATCCATAAGGACCAGCTCTAGCCCGTTGCAGAGAGGTGGCAGTAACTTGGTTTCTCTCCAAACTTCAGTCTTCCCATCATTTATGTGCATGGTGCTGCTTTGCTTACTGACTGCCTAGATATAAGAATGAGAGTCCTCGGTTTGTAGTCTGTGGACCCCTCGGAGTCCGTGGTTTTCAAAAGGAATCAGCAGAGGCAGGTCTAGTGTCAGCAGAATTAACCCACTACACCGAGACTCTCTCAGCTGGAGTATTATCAGGGTTCACAAACCAGAAAAAGGAAAGAATCTTCCCCTTGGATATTCAGAACTCCTACACTTGAAGCTGCATTCAGGTGGCTTCCCCACAGTGCCATACTAAACATCCCCCTTGTTCTTCCATTTTAAAGAATTTTGTTTTAGTTTTAGTAGTACCAGCTAGGAGTGACACAAAACATGAAACTGCCTTCAAATGCACAGAAGAAGTCTCATTCCTGTCCCTCCATTTTGTTCTTCTATATTTTCTCCCACCTAGGTAGATACATGGCCTCCTCCTGAGATGCAGATGGGACCAGCTTAGGTCCCAGTTCTGTTGCAGGCTTCCTGTGGTCTTGAGCAAGTTGCTTTGACTCTCTTAGCTTCTGGTTCCTCATCCCACACTGTGGGGACTCTTCTTGAAGAGCCTTATGGGACCTAAAAGACTGTGTGAAAAAACCCCTGATTTCTCCTGGAAGTGAAGAGCTTGTAGCTGGCTTTAACGAGGACTGGGTGAACACAACGTAATTAGATGAGTTCAGCTACTTATGCAGATTGACTAAAAGGGCTAATTGCACATGTGCAACAATGGCCCTCAACTATGGGCCTCAAGTGCTGCTTCGAGGCCCTGGAGAGACCATGGGAGGAGGTTTCCATGGGGCATCCATGTGTGTGCTGAAGAGGCCAGGGTGACATTTTGCTGTTGAGGCGCAAGGTTGCCCAAGACACGTGCTCTTCATGCCCGGAAGCAAGGTCAGTCTGCTGTGGTGCTGATAAGATGGCCCTTCTCCTGGGGGCTGAGGGCTTCCTGCTCCTGGGACAGCAGCTCTCCAGGGATGCTCTTGCCAGGAGGTTGTGGTGGAGTCTTCAAGACCAGCAGTTGCAGATGAACAGACCCCAAAAGTGGTGAGCCTTTAGTCATTGACACTGCTAGAAACTGGGGACCACCACACCTACATTCTGGTTATGTGAGAACCGTTTCCCTTGCTGCTTTTGGGATTCTCCATCTGAAAACTATCTAGAAAAAGAATTCAGTCTGTTTTTTTGCCTTGAAGTGGCCTGTAAAGTTTCTGCGTTCTTTTCTGCAGCAGTCAAGTGCTCATTTTCTGCTATTTCAATTATACTCTTAGCAGGATGTGTAGGTAAAGGGGGGAGGCACAAGAATATTCTGCTGGCATATATCCTTATGCCAACACTTTGAGTCACGTCTGCTGAGTGAGAAATATGATATAAAGATTTGGAGAAGGAGGTCAGGCAGCAAATTTATGATTGTGGGGCTAAATTAGCAGGCACTTTCTGTGGTTGTGCTGTGCAAGCTTGCTCAAGGTCAGCTGGGGATATTGGCTCAAGCGGATTCAGGAGAAGGATGTTCTGCAAGTGGCTATCAATCTCATTGCTTCTTGGAGAAACAGGATCTGCTGCATCAGGAGCTCAACTGACAAACTGCACCAACCTAGGAACTGATCTGGGTCATTTGCCCTTTGTGGCTGAACGTGCATATTTTTTGCAGGGAAGGGGGAAAATGCACTCTAACACCTTCCTCCCAAATCAAGAACTTAGGCCATGGATTGTTGTCTCAGCTTCTGGGTGGCCCAGAGCTCTTTTACTCCAAAACTTGGAGTTTCTTGGCCCAGAAGCCTTGGCTCCTTCATGGGCTCCTTTGTAGATGGGCACTTGCTTTTTAAAGAGAGCCAGTAAAGTGGATTCTTCCTCCTGTTGAATTTCTTTTGAATTTTTATGAAGGGTAATCAAAATCCACACAGTTGTGTTAAAATATTGGATAGAAGGCACTGAGATCAAATTGTTTGAAAATTGTAATTTCATTCAGGAAAGCTGCTTTATTAAGATGAAGTTGTTTCATTTACCTCTTATCTAATTTATCCTCTTTTTTCACCTGTTCTTGTGGCATGCTGGTGCTTATGTTAGGTTCTGTTCTATTGTCTTTATTTTGACACTATCAAAACAGAATATTTTAACAGCATAGAAACAACATGATGTCTTGTTACATCAGCAAAGTAGTTTGATGCTTCTAATATAATTTTCCCTTTCCACAGGGAGGGAAAATTATTAGAAATTCCGAACTTGTTGCGGTATGGAGTGAAAACCACACTTGTGTCAGAATTTCACATAGGGTCACAATTCCTTTTTGTGGTGGTTTTCTTGGGGTGAGGTTGGTGCTCACCATCCCCTGAGCATTTGCAAAGGGTCAGTCAATGGCCTCTTGGGAGGTTCAGGGAGCACCTGACAACAGAGTGAGCACGTTCTTGGATATATCCCATGTCTGCAGAAGTTACTGCTAAAAACAGCCAGGAAGCCTAACTGAAGTCAGTGACTGGTGTTTGAGCTTAAAGAAAATCCACAAGCTCTCTTATCTTGTCTTCCCCTGCAATTTCTGATGCTCTCCCACAACAACTATGTTCCTGCATGTCCATGTGGTCCTTTCTGCCCCAGCAACCCAGACCTGATCAGAGCAGGTGAAATCAGGGCTCAATTTGCCTCTTCTCTAGTTTAGGGGAAAAGTGCAGCATAAAGTCTCCACCGAGATGGAGAGGAATGGAAAAGGAAGAGTGATGCTATATTCTTATATGGGGGCAGTCCCTTGACCATGCAGACATTACTTGACCATCTAGTATTTTCTTCTTCACTATATCTTTTCCACCTTGTAATGTGCAAGTGTTTGGGAAATTTATTCTTATCAGCTATTGTGTTGGTAGCCCAGGTAGAGTCTGTTTTGGTGTAGAGGCTGGCGAGACAAGAGGTTTTTGTCCTATTATGTTGCAGAGCACTGAGAGATATTTTAGGAATAGATCAGAAGCAAAGACCCCAAGTGGTAACATGGAAAACCTCTAAAAGGGAATGTTCTATCATTCCACCTAGCATTTCCCCTCCAAGAGGATTTCCTATGTCATCTCATAGTATAAGCCTGTTAGGACAGATACAAATTAATGAACAAAGTAAATTTAAAATATGCTATGAGACTGGCTTTTGTCATTCACCCTGAAACTGGACAGAAACTTGTTTTTCTGCCATCTTCCCTTCTCAGGCAACCTGTGCAGTGCAGAAAAATGCTCATGCACCGAAACAAGCTGCATAAACCAGGGAATTGGCCTTTTGCAGGGGAGCGGGTGGAGAAGTGAAAAGTCCCTTTAGCATCCAGCAAAGTTTTCCTGCTACGGTCCTGCTGCTCACTGGATTTGAAGCCCTTATGTGCTGTTCGAGAATGCAGCCTTTGCTTTAAACAGAGTGTCCTTCCAGGTGGCTCTTGGCCCAGAAAAGCTACTGCAGAGTTGTAATCGGAGAGTACTGCGATGTCCTGGAAATAGTCTGCTCTTGTTCTCCCACACGTGTGTTTTGGAAGAACCAAGACCAGC